TATGGAAGACGTATTGTATAGGGAGAGGGTTTATCCCTCTGCTAGCTCGCATGCCCTTGTGGCAGCTATGAGTTCAGCTTCTTGGTTGGTGGTATTGGGTGGTAGAGGTTTTGCCTCTATGATGGATGAGAGGGAAATGACAGCATACACTGCCACTCTAACCCCTTCGTGTATAAAGGAGCTACCATCTGAGAACCAGACGAGATCCGAAGAGGGCAGGGGTCCCTCAGAAATGGTGGTAGGGCAGGGTAAAATAATCTCTAATACCTCCAGGCATTTGTGGATGGGATCTTGTGAGAAGATGGGAGGAGGGAGGCAGGGTTTAATGGAGAGCAGGGCTGAAAAAAGATGGAGGGATTTTCAAGGAGAGACAAGGAGGGATAGAACCCTGGAAGGAGGAAGTGACTGTAGCCCCCTTGTAAGTGAGAAAATAATGGTGAGGAGATGAGATGGTTATCAGGGAGCCAAAGATAAGCTTGTGTGCTTCTTTATGGAGGTCATGGGCCGCTGCTAGGGCTCTGAGGCATGGGGGCCAGCCCCTAATGGTGGAGTCAAACTGTTTGGATAGGTAGGCCACTAGTGCAAATGTGGGGCCATATTCCTGACTCTGAATGCCAGAACTTGTCCCTGTTTTTATATAGAGGGTGAAGGGTCAGGAGAGGTTGGAAAGATGCAGGGTGGGTGCCCAGAGGAGGGCCTTTTTAAAGAGCTTCCCTACCGCTGAGAGTAGGGGTTCATCTTGGGGGCCCTTGGCCAGATTCCAGGCCCTGAAGTACCCAGCCAAACCTAAGGAGGAGAGTCATCTTTGATCTTTGGTGTAGGTATAGACACAATAATGGCCTTTTTCCTTTGAGAGATAGAGAACCCTAGATACATGCTATTTGGGCCTTTTGTGGAGAGGCCCAATATCCCTTTAAGGCCAAGAAATTAAGTAGGAGAACTGTGTCATCTGTTGAGCGCCCTTTGGAGGCCAAAAGAATTTGTTTGCAAGAGGTGGAGAGAGCAGGATTGGATCGGAGCAAGAAGAAAGCCTGGAAGAGATCCCTTAGAATGGAGGGATCCAGGGACCCAAAAAGGGGCCATCTGCTTTGGTTGTCTAAGGGATAAGTGGGCCAGGCCTGGGTGCTATATTTGATCCAAGAGGCATTGTAGGGGAGAGTCAACCAGCAGAGAGGACACATGACCCATGTAAGGAGGAGGGAAGAGGACACAGAGAAGGAGGAAACTGATTTATTGGCAAAAGGGGCGTCCCTGCTAGAGCCAAAAATCAGGAGTGCCTTAGTGGCAGGTTCCAGCTGCAGAGATTGGTCATCACCGAATCCTGACAGTCGAAGCTCTCATCTTGGATGGAGCTGGAGCCGTGGGAGACCTTGGCCAAGGCTTTTCGGGACCCCTCCTGGAGAGGCTGGATACTCCCAGGGCCAGAAAGAGGGGAGAGGAAGGGGAGGGTAAGTGTCTCTCTAGCGGCCGAGTCTTAAGGTGAGAGGACCAGGACTTTCGAATCTGCCCAATGAAGGAGTCCCTGAGGGCCACCATAGCCTTAAAGGCTGTGGTGGGGTGCTTTCCTCTCCACAGGTGGGCAAAGAGATTTGCCGGATGATTATCAACATATTGTAAGAGGGTGGATTAGGGGCACTGGGGATGAAAAGGTTGGAGGTGGGAGGCTAAGGTTTGTCCAAAGAGGTGTGGACTATCTCGAAATCCCTGAGGAAGGACAGTCCAGGTTAAAGGCAAAAAGATATAAAGATATCCTTTAAATCTATGACCGAGAAGTGGGTGGCAGTGTGGAGGATCTGAGACAGCAGAGTGTATGGGTTGGGAACCAAAGGATGTATGTTGTAGGCCCAGAAGAACTTTATGGGCCTAACAGAAGTGTTGATGAGTCATAGATAGGACCCATTGGGTTTTTTTACCGTAGTATGGGAGTAAGGGGAATGAGCAGGACGGAGGTACCCCTTGCTAAGAAGGTCCTGAATAATCAGGAAATGGTGGAGGGGGTGTGGTTATCCCATACAATTGGGTTAACTAGGTTAGTATGGTATTTCATGTCAGCCTCACAAGTGGAGCAGAAGGGCCAGTTTTCTGTCAAAAGGGCCAGAAAAGATGAACAGGCCGATTCTGGGGCCTGAATGATGCCAGGAGCCCGTATGTTGATTGTTGTATTGAATTTAGAGAGAATATCTCAGTCGAGCAAAGGAACTTGACATTGGGGCATAACTAGGAACGTCTGAGAGGTTGGGAAGTTGTCTATGGAACAGAGTAATAGGGGAGTCTTTCTTGGATAGATGGTCTTTCCTCCTACCCCGACAATAGGAGAGGTGGATGGCACTGTTTGCCCCCAGAATACTGTCAGGACTGAGAAGGTAGCTCTGATGTCAAGGAGAAAGTCAACCTTGCACCTATCCACCTGAATCTGCACCGTCAATTGATTGCCATGCCCAGAAGGTCAGAGGGTTCCCTTGCCATAGGCCTCCTACGAGATCTAGGACAGTCAGAGCCCCAATGACCTTGTTGTTGACAATTAGGGCATGGGGTACGCAGAGTGTGTGGTGCAGGACATGCCCTGGCCCAATGTTCCTCCTTGCCACACTTGAAGTAGGAGCCCAGGGGGGTTTTCGGTGATGGGCGGCAACCCAAGGAAGCACTCTGCAGGACTGGGCGAGCATCTGAAATTTCTCAGTCTGGGGGGTGGCAGGGCCTTGTTTGAGCTTTTTTAGTTTGGCCCAGATGTCAGGGTAGTTCTGCGAGAGGAAATATGTCATAAGGACATGAAGGCTATCTGGGGTTTTGGGAGTTTGATCTGGGGGCAGCAAGTGGCCCCGGAGGGTGATTGGGATTAACTCGGTGAGTTTCATCCACATGGGCTCTGGCAAGTTCCCAGACTCTGGTACGTTCCTCAAGAAGGAGAGTATTAGCCAATAACATATAAGTGAGGCTACAAGCCTGGAGGGCCCTTTTGAAACTCTCTTTTGTGGTGAATGAGCCCAACCTTTGCTCGAGTTGCATGGGGTCATTCATAGAGAACGGGACATGTACCTGGACAATGCACCCAGGTCCAGCAACCTCTCTTAAAGGGGCCATGATTTGTGGGACTAGGGGCGGGATCTAGTTTGGGGGAACTAAAGCTGTAAGCCAAGTCAGGGGGAGCACCTGAGGGGGTGGACGGAGCTGATGGGGGAGGTCGGTAGGGAGGGTGTTCATCTGCTGGATAGGTAGGGGTGAGAATGAAGAAGAGAAAAAGCCTCAACATAGGGGAACTCCTTCCACTTTTTCTAGCGATCACAGGAGTTAAACAGATCTCTACGAATTGCGGGATCTAGAGATCCTCCTGGGGGGCATTGACTTTGATTGTCTAATTAATAGTAAGGCCAATCTTGTGTGCAGAATTTAATAAGGGGAAGTCTGCAGGGAGGGAAGAAGAGGCCGCCATAGGTCAGGAGAGGGACAAGGGTGGTTGAGAGAGAAAGAAAGAGAGAGAGAGAGGGAGTGCCTGTTCTTCCACCCCTCAGTACCTCTTGCTCATGAACTGGGTTCCAGAGGGTCCACCGTGACCATGAAGGTCATGGTGGGGTGTGTTCTCTCCTCCAGATTGGGCGTTAGAGGTTTGCCGGACGATCACGGTCAAAGCCCCTGTGTAGCCCATCTGAAGTTGGATACCCGATAGGGGAACTCACCTACTGAAGATCTGGTCTTGTAAACAGCACTCGAAAGAGTGGACCAGGACAGCAAGCCTTGAAAGAAGGGGCCCTCAAGCAGCGAGGCATTCCCCCTCCGGGGTTTTGACACCAATGAAAGAACGAACAAGGCTTGTCGTCGGAGCAAGTGCCCGTTTATTGAGGAACAGCTCTGCATATTTATAGAGCCAGGGGTGGTTTGACAGTTGGCATGGGGTGATTTTTGATTGGAGGGTAAGGATCAGGTGAGCCAGCAGGGCTAGTCTGATTGGTGGGTAGGATCAGGTGAGCCAGCAGGGCTCTGATTGGTGGGTAAGGATCATGTGAGCCAGCAGGGCTCTGATTGGTGGGTAAGGATCATGTGAGCCAGCTGGGCTCTGATTGGTGGGTAAGGATCATGTGAGCCAGCAGGGCTCACCATTGGATGGTTCTTCTTAGGGGATGGGGAAGTTAGTCTTTGGAGCTGGGGCAACTCCCAACAATAGGAGTTAAAGTTTTCTACAGTAATTATATTGTTTGAGAGGAGGAAAGAAAATTTTATTTAGCTGTAGACTTTGTTATGTGAATATTAACACTAAAGAGTTAATAATAATTTCTAAAAGATTAAAAAGGAATGTATGACATCCAAACTGGTAAAGAGAGGAGGTAAAATAAGCTCATTCAAATCCAATAGATTGAGGGTGGCCGAACTAAGGCCAAATCTGGCCCATTGCCTGTTTTGGAATAGCCCATGAGCTAAGAATGGTTTTACATTTTCATGGTAATTTTTAAAAGCCTCAAAGAAGGATAATATGCCCTATAGTGACTATACATGTCAAAATTGCATGATATTCAAATTTCAGTGTCTATAAATGAAGTCCCATTGGAAACAGCTACGCTCACTTGTTCACATCTTGTCTGGAAAAGTTGCAACAGAGCCCGTATGGCCACCAAGCCTAAAATATTCACTCACTGGTCCTTTACAGAAAAAGTTTTCTGACCCCAGCAATAGTCAGCAGAAGAACAGAAGAGTATAGCAGCAAGATGTTCAATACACACTGAATTGTCACAAGTCATTTCATCACCATGACTGGGACTGATAAGAACCCTGAGGCCTATTTCCTGAAATCTTTCATGTTAAGTGAAAATGTGCAACAGACCATTGGAATAGAGAGTGGAGAGGAGTGAGATCAGGTCTCTCCTCTCAGTTCCTTTGGGTTCCAGCTTTGCCTTTGCCCTCTCTGCCTTTGAATGCACCCACAGGGGTGACCAGACTGAGCGGCAGGCTGAGCAGCTTGGCCTGTTTGGGGGGCCTGGGCTGAGCAGAGGCCAACTCTCTCCCTTCAGTTGCAGGGTGCCATCATGGTTGCTTCCTGCATCCAGATACTGGTGGGATTCTCAGGCCTCATCGGCTTTCTCATGCGCTTCATTGGCCCCTTGACCATTGCTCCGACCATTTCCCTGGTGGCCCTGCCTCTCTTTGATCCTGTTGGCAATGACGCTGGAATCCACTGGGGGATTTCCTTCATGTAAGTACTTTCTGGGGAGGAGGCCCAGCCACGCTTTCTTTGGTGGAAGTACAGCTAGTAAGAATAACATGAGTCCAGGATGCCAGTTTTCATTGAGCTGGGAAAGGGTGCAAAGAATGGCCCCAACTCTTCAGCACCATTGTAGTCTAAGAGATATAAAGGCCCATGATACCAGGAAGCAGCCAGGAGGCCTTGGGGCTGTGCGAATGTGAAGGAGAGGTGGTCAGCTGGGAGGATCAGGAAACAGGAAATGAGGCCTCAGGCATTTAAACAATTTTGGAGGGACCTGGGAGTGACACTGATATGCTCAAGTTCAGGACCCCCAAAAGACCACCAGAGACCAAGATTGATGTAAGCAGCAAAGAGGTGTTCATTGCGAGCTAGCTCGGTCCTCTGCGCACACAGCAACTGGTGACGCTGAGAGGCCCCGAGCCCAGGGTTTGCAGCAGTTTTATACACTCTTTGGGGGAGGCAGGGACTTCACATACATCGTAGCATCTCTTAGCAAATCATCACACACCGCGGGAAAATCATAAAACAACTCTAAAACATGATTAGCACATTCACTGACGGGAACAAGTTGGGTAGCGGTGATTGGCTAGTACAAGAGGGGGACTTGTTTGAACTGATTGGTTTAAGCCACGAGGGGAGTACATGCTGAACTACATGGTTTCCCAACATGTTATCAACCACCATAAACTACTGGGGGTCATCTGGCATCCCAGGTATTTTCTCTGTCTCATGCTGATTGTTGGTTGCTAGGGAGTTGCTATGGGTCCTCACTTAGCCTGAGTCAGGGACACCTGGCGCCACAGATCTCTCCTGTTATTGACAGACAAACAACTCAGCAGGGTGGCTATCTGTCTAGAAGTGCTCTGTGGGTTTTTCCAAGGACAAGGGTCACACCCCCTTCCTTGGACAGGCTTTGCTCTAAGGTAGAGGCTGGTTTCTAAAAAATGGAGTCACATCAGTTTCTCAACACTGTCATTCACTCTGCCTCTTGTGGTCTGAGGTGAGGTGTGGGAATCATCAGAACTGCACCAGACCTGCCTGAGAGATATGACAGTCCCTATGGGCCTCAGTGACTCTGTCTGCTGCCAACAGCCTGTTCCTCTCAGATACACCAGAAACAATGGCATCCTATCCCACAAGTCCTCTTCAGCCACAAGCAGTTCCAACAGGGACCTCTTTTCAGAGATAGCAGGTATCTACATATGGTGCAGAGGGCCACCAGCTGGAGCCCCTCCTGGTGAGGACATTGGTCCCAGAGACACCTGGTGGCTCAGCTTCTCAGAACACCCCCAAAGCCTCCTGAGCCCCTGCTCAGGACAAGTCCACTTTCCAGCTTGTGTACGCTTGTTTGTTTCAGGACCATCTTCCTCATCATGCTGTTTTCTCAATTCCTGAAAAACATCCCAGTGCCTGTGCCTGTGTATGGTGGAGAGAAGAAGTGTCACACCTCCAAGTTCTACCTCTTTCAGTTCTTCCCTGTAAGAAGCACCTCTTACCCACCCTCTTCTATTCGAAATTGATGTACCTGGAGATTGTCGGCAACTTCCCTGTGCCCAGGTGGCCCCCAAATCAAAGCTCCTCCATCTGTGGTGGCCTCTTCCTAGGAGGAAGAAAGAGTCCCAGGTCTGTGGGGTGTACTTCCCGGCTGTTGGTGGCATTGCATTCTAGGTCCTTCCTCACAGGCTTCTCTCCCAGGAGCCCTAGTCGCTGTTCTGGGCACTGTTGTGTCTTCTTGTCCTCATACAAGGTACTGGGAGAGACAGTCAGGTTCACCTCTAATGAGGTAAAACTAAGGGTCTGAAGGAGCCTGCTGAGCCAAATTGCTTAGATCAGGGTCTTTCCCAATGTCTCACGGGCAATCCAACTGCTGGTGAGCAAGATGGCGCCTCCCTTCCCAGAGCCTTCTTTGTTGATTTCACACCAAGCTGTCCAGTGTGTAATTGTCACCATAGCTGTGTCTTCAGGTTTAACTGAGAACTGTGTTTCTCAAAGTACAAAGAAACTTCCATATAATGATCTTATTGACCTTTCAAAAACCCTGCAGTCCAATGATTCCAAAACTCAGTGTGCATGTGAATCACTTGGAAAATTCACTAAGAATATGGAGTTCTGGGGTCCCACCACCAAAAATAAAATTGATATATCTGTGGACCTCACTTTCAGGCCCTGTTTCAGGCCCTGCAGAACAGTGATTTTAATTCCATGGTAGAGATGAGAAAACTAAGTCTCAGAGGGTTTGCTCCCAGGTCACATGATCAGCAATCAGTGGAGAGAGAGCAGGTGGGAATCCTTCTGCTCCATGCTGTGCCCAGTGTGCTGGATTTTCCTGCCCCATAGTCTCCTCCCATAGTTTGTTTTGTGCTTCTATTTCCAGCCTGTTTCTTTAATGTGCTAAGTTATCCATGGACACAGCAGGTTCCTGTTGTCACTAGCAGGGTGGTCACCCAGCACTTGCTCATCTGAGTATGTTCCTGGACCCCTCCTGATGGAGGAAAGGGGGCAGGAGCTGGCAGAGCTGAAGGGAGACTCCCTTTGGCAGGTGCTGCTGGCTCTCTGCATTTCCTGGTTCGTCTGCTTCGTGCTCACAGTCACCAACACTCTCCCCTCGTCCCCCACTGAGTATGGGTACCTGGCCCGCACTGACACCAAAAGCAATGTCCTGCGCCAGGCCCCTTGGTTCCGCATCCCTTACCCAGGTAAGGAGAAGATAGGTGCCCTTCTAGCTTGGGCCACTGGATCTGTGTGGCTCAGGTCATGGGATGGAGAGTAGAACAGGGCTGGGGGAAGGATTGATAAGGAGAGATAGGTCCCAGGGAGTCCATATTTGACTCCTAAAGAAGAAGAGACTCCAAGTTGTTATAAGAATTCCTTGGGTGGTGGACAAAGGCTGGCACTCCCAGACTTCCCTCAAAGCTGGGCTACATCCCTTGTCCGCCACATTGCCCACAACCTTAAGCCTGGGGGTGGGTAGAGGTGGGAAAGAGAGAGGCCTAGCCTCCACCTGGACTTTGTGTTTCCTCATGGATTCAGTGGATCTCACGCCAGGAGGCTCAGGACTGAATCAGAGCGTTTCTGGGGAGACCAGGGAATCCCTTAGGCTACCTCTGCTCCCCTTTTCCCTATGGTTTTGTCTCATGGTGTCAAAGTATCCAAGGTGTCCAGCAAGGGCCAACCTGTCCTCAGGGATATGGACTAGGGCCTCCCTGAAGAATCTCAGTTTCCAAACCTTCAGGCCTCCCTAGGAAAAGGCCATTTCTGCTTCTTTCTGTGCACAGTGACCTCAAGTTCTGGGCATCTGATAAGACTCAGGAGGAATGGCAGGGCAGGAATCCCAGGCAAAGCCAAAGTAGTTGTAAGAGCTGCCAACTCTTTACATTGTCCCAGAAATCCCTCTAGCCAGGAAATGACTTGGGTTTCCTCAGCCTCCTCTGACTGGACACTCCCTCTGCACTGCATTTTCAGGACAATGGGGCCGCCCCACCATCAGCCTGGCTGGAGTCTTTGGGATCATTGCTGGGGTGGTCTCCTCCATGGTGGAGTCTGTGGGTGATTATTATGCCTGTGCCCGGCTGGTGGGAGCCCCACCCCCTCCGAAGCACGCCATCAACCGTGGCATTGGCATCGAGGGCCTTGGCTGCTTATTGGCAGGAGCTTGGGGGTCAGGAAATGGCACCACCTCCTTCAGCGAGAATGTTGGGGCACTGGGTATCACCAAGGTAAGTCTACTGATGGTGGCTCCTGGGGACAGGCTGGGTACCTGAATCTGCCATCGTACCTGCTACTTTCCTGTTGCTTCTGTAGCAAATTAGCACAAAGTGATGGCTTCAAACAACCCAAACTTATTATCTTCTTATTTTATTCTTTTTAGCTATACATGACAGTAGAATGTATTTTGATATGTCATACATACATGGAGTATAACTTTCCCTTCTTGTGGATGTACATGATGTGGAGTTTCACTGGTCATGTATTCATATATGAACATAGGAAAGTTATATAAGATTCATTCTACTGTCTTTCCCATTCCCATCCCCCTTCCCCCACCCCATTCCCCCTGTCCAGTCCAATGAACCTCCACTACCCTCCACCCCTGCCTATTGGGAGTCAGCATCTGTATATAGAGAGAACATTAGCCATTTTGGAGATTGGCTGATTTCACTTAGCATGATACTCTCCAGTTCCATCCATTTACCAGCAAATGCCATCATTTCATTTTTCTTTAAGGCTGAGTATATTCCATTGTGTATGTGGATCACATTTTCTTTGTTCATTCATCTATTGGGGGGCACCTAGGTTGGTTCCATAGCTTAGCCATTGTGAATTGGGCTGCCATGAACATTGATGTGGCCACATCACTACAGTATGCAGATTTTACATCATTTGGGCATACACCAAGGAGTGGGGTAACTGGGTCAAATGGTGGTTCCAGTACAAGTTTTTGGAGGAATCTCCACACTGCTTTTCCGAGTGTTGCACCAAGTTGCAGTCCCATCAGCAATGTATGAGTATACTTCTTTGCTCCACATCCATGCCAACACTTATTGTTGCTCATATTCTTGATAATTGCCAGTCTGACTGGAGTGAGATGAAATCTCAGTGTGGTTTAATTTGCATTTCTCTAATTGCTAGAGATGATGAACATCCAAACTTACTATCTTAATTGATCTGTAAGCCAGATTTTGGACACTGGCCTCGTGGGCTCAAAGGGAGGCATCAGCCGGGCCATTCTCTGGAGGCTCTGGGGGGACCCATGTCCTGTCCTTTTCTGTCATCCAGCATCTGCAGTGATTGGGCTGTGGCCACTTTCTCCGTATTCCCCTGCCACAGATGGAAAGGTTCTCTGCTTTCCAGAACCAGTGGACTTAGACTGGGCCCACCTGGCTACTCTCCCATTCCCAGGTCCTTAACGTCATCACATCAGCAGAGTCGCTTTTGCCATTAGAGGCAATGTATTCGCAGGTTTGAGGGTTATGACAGGTGCCTCTGCAGGGCCCATGATTCCACTTTCTGTCCTTGACTTTGTTGGACTGTGGCCATCCACAGGCAAAAAGTCTATTCTGTCACTGGTGGGTACTGGAGAGAGTCCTTTCTTTCTGAAGTTTAGGTGGGGCTTCCTTACCTACAGACCTGAGTGATCCACTGAGCATGGCAGCCCCTCCTGATGTCCCCAAGGCACTTCACACACAGTGGCTTCTGGGAAGCCCAGCGCATGCCCTATCTGACTTTTCCTGCTGTCCTTGTCTTATTTCACCCCACTGGCATGTCCTCCTTAGCTTCTTGCTCACCTGTTGGTTCTGATTTCTCCCCATGGCCCCCTTCCTGTCTCCTTTCATCATCCCCAGTGCCGCAGCCTGATCATCTCCCGCCTGGACGCTAAAGTAGTGCCTTCCATCCTGTCTTCTCAGGATCTTGCCCATCTACTTCTCATGGCTCCCCATTTTCTACACTATAGTTCAATCAGATCAGCAAGAACTCTGGAGAATGGTGTTTTCTAAAGTGACTTAGAACCAGGTGCGGTGGCACAGCCTGTAATCCCAGTGGTTTGGAAGGCTGAGGCAGGAGGATATCAAGTTCAAAGCCAGCCTTAGCAACAACAAGGCTCTAAGCAACTTAGTGAGATTTGTCTTAAAATAAAAACATAAAAGAGAGCTGGAATGTGGCTCAGTGGGTGAGCATTCCTGAGTTCAATCCCTGCTACCAAAAAAATAAAGTGACTTAGAAAACCATAGTGTTGCTTTGTTGTTTTCCGTATGTTTCTGTGAATTCTGGCAGTAGTCCCAGAGCAAGTCCTGTGAGCCAAGGAGAAATACAGCACCTCCTCCCCCACACCCTGACTTGCCCTGTCTTATGGCTCCCTCAGTGGCTCTGTGTGCATCCTGAAGGCACTGAGTCTTTATAGCATCAGATCTATCTTCCTCTGTGCCCTGTATGACCTCTGGCACAGCTGGAGCTAAAATCTGTGAGCAAATGGTTGAGCCAGCACCCAACCCTACAGCAAGTCCTATGTTCCATGACACCCACTCTGTAAGAGTTCAAAGCCATTCATGCAAGTGAGGGGAACATTTTGTACAGGAGGACCACTAACCCATGCAGAAATATTTCCTTTCCCACTAAGTGGAATAAATCTCATGCCAACAAAAAGTATCTCAATAAAGAAAAAAAGGCCATTTTTCTGGACATCATTTCCAAGCTAAGGTCATTAGAGGAAAGGGTGAAAGTAGGAAATAAAGGTACATAGAAGAAAACAAGGCTACACATCAAACATAAGACCCATAAACTGGGAAAGAGGTGAAGGTGCTAAGACCACTCGCTTTTATGGACTCGCTCGCCCCCTTGCGGCCCTTTGAGGTACTGCCCCGTGTTGTCCTCTCCAGCAATGAGTTCCCACAACTTCTTGATTCTCTCCAAGTCTTGGGGGAAATAAGATTAAAGGCCAGAATTCTCCTGTCAGTTCTGTAGGATGTCCTGCTGCCAGCCCATATGTCATTCATGTGACTAAAACGGCCCAGGGCTGTATGCAAAGTGTGTGCAGTAATAAGATTGGGGAAGACTTCCATCCTTAGGAGACTAGTGGCAAGTGCAAAGGACATGGGTTGACCCCAACACATCTATCCATGGTGCTTGTAGTCATGCCTCTGTTCTCACAGCTAATTGTCAAGGCTGTAAATAAAACAAAACGTTCTTTGATGTGGTAAGAATTTCTAATGAAGACAGTTAAATAAATAAGCTTTTTGCCTGGAAAGAGTAAAACAGGCAAGTGTACAATCTGCTACTTTATCATGGCATTGATGGACTTTAGTTGAGGCTGGAGTATCTTTTCAAAAGGTTTTAATTGTGGTAAAAAGCACTAAACATACAATTTACTCTGGTAACTGTTATTAGGTGTACAATTCAGTAGTGTTTATCATATTCCAATTGTTATATGATATATCTCTAGAACTTTTTCATCTTGCAAGACTGAAACTATATTATAGTATCTATTAGGGTCTTGGGGTAGGTACACGGGAATGAGAGACAGATTTAAGAACTATCTAAATATATTTATCAACACTGGACTTATGAGGATGAGAATATTTGTAATATAGCCCTAACTTCCAAGAATGAAATGGAGCCCCCAAATTGGAGGGTCATTATTTGAAGACTTGTTTCCAACCAGTTCTGGGTTCACAGCTAAAATGAGTGAGAGATAATGAGACCCATTTCTGCCACACAGGCATAATGGCCTTCCACCACTCTGGCGGTACATCTGTTATGGTTGATGAACTGACATCATTATCACTACCTACAATCTACAATTTACATTGGGGTTCACTCCTGGTGTTGTACATCTTGCAGACTTAGACAAGTGTATAACGACACATATATACCACTGCAGTATCATACAGAATTGTTTTCAGAGGTCATTTCTGCCTCACTAATACAAGTTGTCTCCCAAACCCCAGTTGTGAGCCCTGATTAGCACAACCATTGGTAGTGACAGCAGGGTGACAGTTGTGTGCCCCAGCATTGAGACCAGCTATGTGATGGGTGGATGTTGACCAAGGTCCATGATCTTCACTGCAGGGTGAGCTATTTTTTAAGCCTTTGTAGAAACTGTTTTATTTCAAGATCTAACAGCAGTTGTAAGGAGGTAGCCAAACACATTTCTTTAGCATTCCAAGACTCCTTACCACTCAGGCATCTCTATGCAAACCAGGTAACGGCTGTCAGTGAGAAGCAGGGCTGAGATTGGCTCTCAAACCCCCATTCTTAAGCACAGGACCACTGCCACTCCAGAGAAACTAATCCCCTCATGTTCGGGCTTCCTAGGGGATGAGCATTTGGTCCAGCACTTGAAGACAAGTATGAGAGTGACAGAGTGGAGAGGTGAGGGCAGAGGTTGGGCCCAAAATGATGATTTTCTCTCTCTCCAACCCCATTTGGGAGCAGAGGGTATGAAGTATGTTCTGGGGCCCTTTTTCTGAAAGTCCATCTCAGCAATGCTCAAGATGACCTGTAACAAGGCCTCTGGGACGTCTGGCCTGCCTGGTTCTCCATCCCCCTCTCCCTGATTGCCACAGGTGGGGAGCAGGATGGTGATTGTCACAGCGGGCTTCGTGCTGCTCCTGATGGGTGTTTTTGGGAAGATCGGGGCTGTGTTTGCCACCATTCCAACCCCAGTGATCGGGGGCATGTTCCTTGTCATGTTCGGGATCATCAGTGCCGTGGGGATCTCCAGTCTGCAGGTGAGATGGGCGAGTTGCCTCAGAAAAGTAGCAGGAGCCCAGAGGATGGAGAGGGGCAGAATGGGACAGGGGCTGGGGAGGAGAAGGGAATCCTTGGCCTGGAACCACACTGCTCCCAAATGGAAGAGAGAAATAGCCAGAAATGTCCAACCTTCTGAAAGGTCGTGAAGGAGTGATCTCAGCACCTCTCTCTGGGTCTTCCTCCTGCAGTACGTGGACATGAACTCATCCAGGAACCTCTTTGTCTTTGGCTTCTCCATTTACTGTGGCCTCACCATTCCCAACTGGGTGAAGAAGAACCCCGAGAAGCTGCAGACAGGTGATTGCTCCTCACCTCTCCATTTTGTCACTCCGCTCTGTCTCCTACACAGTCGCCACTCTGGTTGTGGAGCCAGCAGGGACCCAGGGTCCTGTGAACCTATCACTTTTGTCTCATTTTAGGCATTCTCCAGCTGGACCAGGTCGTCCAGGTGTTGCTGACCACAGGCATGTTTGTTGGAGGATTTCTGGGCTTTCTCCTGGATAACACCATCCCTGGTAGGGCTCACCTGTGAACTGGCAATGTGGATAAATGGGTACAGTCTGAATGATGTGGAGAGCTTCTAGCTGTGATTACTGTGTCAGGCTGGTCACTGGTCATGGCACACCTTCAGTGGGCTCTAGTTCTGGAGATGAGGGTATGGAAGGGTCTGTATTAGTCAGCTTGGGCTGCTATAACAAAACATCCCAGCCCTGGGGGCTTAAACCATTTATTCTCTCACAGTTCTAGAGGCTAGAAATCTGTGATCAGGGAGCTGATAAGTTTGGTTATTTCTGAGATCTCTCTCCTTAGCTTGCAGATGGCCTTTCCTCTGTGTGTGCACATTCCTGGTATCTGATCCTGTGTCCTAACCTTTTCTTATAAAGATGCCAGCCACATTGGATTAGGAGTCACCCTAAAGGCCTCTTTGTAACTTAACTACCTCATTGTAATGGTCCTATCTCCAAATATAGTCATGTTCTGAGAAACTAGGGTTTGGGTTTCAATGAATGAATTTCAAGGGAGAGAGAGTTCAACCCACAGCAGAGCCCTAAATGGGAAATGTACCAGAAGCAGCAGGAAAAAGACACAGCCCTGGCTTTCATGAAGCCTATAATTTAATTGGTGAGAGATCACACATATTCATTCATTCACTCATAGTATTAATGAAATTCCATGAAGCACTTGCTATATAGCAGGTGCTATGTACCAAGAATACGAAGAGTAGTAAGATATGTCCCTTCTGGAAGTCCACAGGCTAATGGGGAACGAGGCAAGAAAGCAGACAAGTTCGTACTGGGTAATACGTGCTGTGAGGAGCAAATAGAGTGTGCAGGGGTCCAGGGAGCTGATGTGGAAAGCAAGAGGCCCAGTCTCTGAAGGATCTGGGAGCGGCTGTCCAGCAGCTCTACTCTCTCTCTCTCTCTCTCTCTCTCTCTCTCTCTCGCCTCCCTCAGCCTCTCCTGGAGACCTCTGTGGTAGCACCTGCTTCATGGTATTCTATTTCACACGGTGACTGTCCACCAAGTGTGAAGTGCATCTGTATATTCCACGCACATTCAAGTGAGGACAAGTCTGCTCGCTAGAGCTGTGGAAAGGGGGTTCCACACGGCTGTGCTGGGCTCCTTGTGAGGCTCAGAGGATGCCTGCAGAGCTGAGCTCTGATTCTTGAGCTGGGCTTGGAGGAGAAGGAGGAGGAAGGAGAAGAGGAGCAGATGGAGGCAGAGGAAGAGGGGTCGAGATGGAGGAGGAGGTGTCAGTGGGGGCATGTGCACCAGGGTGCCGAGAAGAGGCCACAGGTCCTAGCATGTGGCCACCAGAGCCTCCCTCTGCCCTGTCTGCCCCTGCCATCAGGACCCACTCTTGACTTCTCCTGTCTTACATTAGGAAGCCTGGAGGAGCGAGGCATCCTGGTATGGAATCAAGTCCAGGAGAATTCCAAGGAGACTACTCTGAAGTCCTCGGAGGTTTATGACTTTCCCTGGGGCATTGGCACCAAGTTCTGCACGTCCTCCTACATCCGGGTCCTCCCCTTCTGGCCCAGACTGGACCACAGTGGCAAAGGTGAGGTGGGCATGAGCCAGCTTGCCCACTGCTCCCAGGCTTCCTCCAGAAAGCACCTGTCAGGTGCTATAGAAACCAGGATGTGAGGAGAAGGGTCCTCCTGCATGGCCGAGCCCTGGACAGACTTCTGCCTTTGCAATATGCACCAATCTGCCTTCATGAGCTGGAGGTGCCCACCCTCTCCAACACCTGCGGCACCTGTACACCATGGCAGTCAGGAAGCTTCAGGTTATAATAGTGACCTATAGGCTCTGTTCTGGTCACTTGGTCATCGCATTTGATCTTGACCTGTCCCTCTGGTATTCTCCCAGCTCTGGTGTGGACAGGTGTGGATGCTGTCCACACAGAACTCTGCTACACCATTGTGCTTTGCAGTGTTTTGAAAGATTGGGAGGAAGAGGCCTGGGTAGGGTAGGGACAGTGGTGGCTGTTTGCTGGAAGGTGACACTGAAAGCGCACTTTATTCCCCTTCACCAATATAGACCCAGTTCTCATAAGTCTCTCTTTGATTCTGTCTGCTTTGCATTTTAAGGATGAGCTGCCACTAAGGGCTATCTTTGAAGATTCAATGCACACTAAAGTTTGGTAGGAAGTCACCAGCACTCCCTAGTCCCAAGTTATGGGAGAAGATCACACCTAGCAGGGTGCTGGCTGGAAATACTGCCACAACACAACAAAAATCAGGCACACGTCACTTATTTTTTTATTTTTTGGTACTTGAACCCAGGACTTCCTTAGACTTGCTAAGAATCACTCAACAACTAAGTTACATCCCAGCCCTCTTAACATTTTTTTTTTTTTTAAATTTTGAGACAGGGTCTCACTAAATTGCCCAGGCTGGGTTCGAACCTGTGATCCTCCTGCCTCAGCCTCCTGAATAGCTGGGGTTGAGC